TAAGGCAATGAAAAGATGGCCTTAAAGGCACTGTGTGGCAAAGAGGAGTAAAAACAGAGGTAGCACTTCTACTTTTTGTGGTTCAGGATGGAAAGGACCTGTGGAAAATATCAAATCCCTTCCCTAACCAAGCACAGGCACCCAGAGCCATGTCTGAAAATTTTGCACACAGGGAGACTCCAAAACCTCTCTGGGTTGTAGAGCTTGAATTTGTTCAAGTTTTCAAGCATCCCCACAGTAAAAAAGAGCTGGTTTAAGGGGTAGCACCTTCGCCTCTACTTTTTGTGGTTCAGAATAGAAAGAACCTGTGGAAAATATCAAATCCCTTCCCTAACCAAGCACAGGCACCCAGAGCCATGTCCAGCCTGGATTTGGAAATTTTTCACAGAGGGAGATTCCAAATCCTCTCTGAGTCTAAAGAGTTTGAACTTGTTCAAGTTTTCAACCATCCCTACAGCAAAATAGAGTTGGTTTAAGGGGTGACACCTTTGCCTCTACTTTTTGTGGTTCAGGATGGAAAGGACCTGTGGAAAATATCAAATCCACTTTCCTGCCCAAGCACAGGCTCCCAGAGCCATGTCCAGTCTGGATTTGGAAATTTTCCACACAGGGAGACTCCAAAACCTCTCTGGGTTGTAGAGCTTGAATTTGTCCAAGTTTTCAACCATCCCCACAGTAAAATAGAGTTGGTTTAAGGGGTAGCACCTTCGCCTCTACTTTTTGTGGTTAAGGATGGAAAGGACCTGTGGAAAATATCAAGTATTTCCCTAACCAAGCACAGGCACCTAGAGCCATGTCTGAAAATTTTCCACACAGGGAGACTCCAAATCCTCTCTGGGTCTAAAGAGTTTGAACTTGTCCAAGTTTTCAACCATCCCTACAGTAAAAAAAAGCTGGTTTAAGGGGCAACACCTTTGCCTCTACTTTTTGTGGTTCAGGATGGAAAGGACCTGTGGAAAATATCAAATCCACTTCCCTGCCCAAGCACAGGCACCCAGAGCCATGTAAAGCCTGGATCTGAAAATTTTCCACACAGGGAGACTCCAAAACCTCTCTGGGTCTATAAAGCTTGAATTTGTTCAAGTTTTCAACCATCCCTACAGTAAAATAGAGTTGGTTTAAGGGGTAGTGCCTTTGCCTGTACTTTTTGTGGTTCAGGATGGAAAGGACCTGTGGAAAATATCAAATCCACTTTCCTGCCCAAGCACAGGCACCCAGAGCCATGTCTGAAAATTTTCCACACAGGGAGACTCCAAAACCTCTCTGGGTTGTAGAGCTTAAATTTGTTCAAGTTTTCAACCATCCCTACAGTAAAATAGAGTTGGTTTAAGGGGCAGCACCTTTGCCTGCACTTTTTGTGGTTCAGGATGGAAAGGACCTGTGGAAAATATCAAATCCACTTTCCTGCCCAAGCACAGGCACCCAGAGCCATGACCAGTCTGGATCTGGAAATTTTTCACAGAGGGAGATTCCAAATCCTCTCTGGGTCTATAAAGCTTGAATTTGTTCAAGTTTTCAGCCATCCCCACAGTAAAAAAGAGCTGGTTTAAGGGGTAGCACCTTTGCCTCTACTTTTTGTGGTTCAGGATGGAAAGAACCTGTGGAAAATATCAAATCCACTTTCCTGCCCAAGCACAGGCACCCAGAACCATGTAAAGCCTGGATCTGAAAACTTTCCACACAGGGAGACTCCAAACCCTCTCTGGATTGTAGAGCTTGAATTTGTCCAAGTTTTCAACCATCCCTACAGTAAAATAGAGTTGGTTTAGGGTCAAATGTGTTTCAGGCTGTGCCCATTCCTCTTCTCCCATCCCTGGGCACCNCCAAGGTTGGACACTGGGGCTGGAGCAGCCTGGGATGGTGGGAGCTGTCCCTGCCATGGCTGGGACTGGGATTTAAGGTCCCTTCCAACCCAAACCATTCTGGAATTCCATGATTTCTGCACACCATTTCCACTTTTTAACAGCCCTTCCTGTTCTGCCCCTGCTGTCACCCAGTCACTCAGCTGTTCTGTAAAGTCCTGCCTTTAAAAACACAAAACAGCTTTTTTTTATAAAATGCCAAATGTGCAGGGAGAAAGCAATCAGCTCCAAAAAACCCTCCTGCTATTATTCACATCATGTCATTATTTTCCTGACATTAAAAACCTAAAGTTTAAGTCTTTAACATTGGAAAAGAAAGAAAAGTAGGTGTCGGAGCATTCCCTGCTTCTGAAGAAACAAAATACTGACAGCTTTTTATTTCCTGGGAAAAAACCGCAGGAGAAGGATGAGCCCATGAGGAAAACACCAATTCCTCACTCTGCAGCACAAGGGTGGGGGAAATGAAGAATAATCAAAAAGCTCCATCATTGCTTCTTCCCACCTTCATTCTTCCTTTTGTCTTCCTAATAAAAATAAATTCAGGAAGAAATAGCAAAGATCCTCCCTCTTATCCCATGGACAGATTTCTCTAGTTTCAGTGTTTGTTACCTGCCACAAGGGCAAATCCACACACAAAACCAAAGCAGCCTAAAGAGTTTTTATTTAATTATACGACATGACCCTAAATTGCATTTATTCAACAATATTTCTTCACTGTTTTCAGCATTTCAGCTCTTAAATTATAAAAAAAAATGGAAAATATTAAATTTTTTCTATGGGGACTCATGTGTCAACAGTAGAATCAGAAGAATTAAAGTTACAGCACAGATCTCCATGTTCCTGAGCTAATTAATTTATTAATTACTATGCAGAGTATAATCAGTGCTGGGGAGATGAAGGGGGAATCTCCTGTCCTGGCCTCTGCTGATCTCTGCTCTGCTTTCTGGTGCTGTGGAGCATCCCCAGAACCTCTCCTGTGGAAGAACTTGGATTCCTCATTCCAGCAGCCAAGCTCAGGGAGGTGACAGCAGTGTCCCTGATGTGACAGTGGAGGTGACAGTGGTGTCCCCGGTCCCTGCTCACTCCCCTCTCTGCACATTGTCCTTAGGAAGCTCCTCCTGCCTCAGAACTTCCCCTCAGGAGCAGATCACAGAATGATGGAATGGTTTAGGTTGGAAAAGAGCTCTCAGATTGTCGAAGTGAGGGAGCGACC